CACTGGAAAATTCAAGGAAACATTTGAATACTAGTAGCAAACACAGTGAAGCTGGGAAAGAACTATGCACACAGTTCATTACTTGTTATGTATCTCTTTAGTCATCTGTCATTCTTCCTGGGGGGTAAGTTTCGTGATTCTCATTTGAGCATACATTTCACAATACATGTTCCAGTTTCTCCGCAACTAAGCACTTTCAGAAAACAATGTTGTGGTTACTAGGAGGTAGACAGAAGTAGGAAATAAAATTGCTATGAAATAGCCTCAGAGAGAGCTCTGCCCTTCCCCCACTTTTTCTTTCTTCTTTTTTTGTATGACGGGAATGTCATGGAGATAGCTGGACACACAGTAGCCACCTCAGGCCACTGGTGGAAGCGTCAGTGCCCTAGAGGTAAAACCTAGGGGAAGCGGGCTTTTAGTTACTTTTTGTTTGAAATTTTAGATACCACGTCCATTATGGGTTTGTATATGAAAATGTCCTCTGAAGGCTCCTATGTCAAAAAAATGGACGCTAGTTGAAGGGTTTTTGATTGTATCATGAGCCCTGTAACCTCAAAAGATTAATCCATGGCAGAATGGACTATGAGGAGGTGGGGCTTAGCGGCAGAAAACAGGTCCCTGGGGGAGTGCATCTTTGCAGAGTATATCCATCCTGGCCATGATATTTTCTTCCTGGGTGCCTGTGACCCAGCAGGAGGTGAGCCACTTTGGCATGTTGAATTCTCCCCGAGAACAGGAGCAGTAGATCCAAGTAGCTGTGGATGACACCTATGAAAACGTAAGTCACAATAAATCCTCTTTTGTTTTCCGAGGCATTATACCCCATGGATGTAAGGTGACACAATGCTAAGTAATAGATTCCCATGAACTTTCCTATGGACATAATAACAGTTTATATTGTTTTTCAAGCATATGAAAGCAACTCAAATCAATGATAAGCACTAACCCTTTTTTCTTGAACCAGCATCTGGTGGGTGACCCCTAGAGCATGCTAACATTATGTTTTGAGCATACATTCCATAAAGAACCATTGAGTCTGATCATGCATACATAGCCCACCTATCACTTTTCCTTATCCAAAATCACCTTGCCCTGTGCCTTAGATTGCCTGGCTTCTTCTAGAAATATCCCTAAATGCTATACTGAGGGAGGTGAATTTGAGTCTTGCCTGTTACTTTCTATACACTTGACTTTCTGGTGAACAAACTTTCTCCTTCACAAAACCTGTCATTTCATTGATTGATATACTGCATAGTTGAGAAAAAACTGACACTGTAGCAGTTTCAGCCCTGGACAACCTCTGGATCACATTTACAGAAAAGAAACACAGACTATCATTTAAATTCCCACTATTTTGAAATTGATGGTCCATATAGTTAAACCTAACTATACACAATATACAATATGAATGTACACAAAAAGTCATCCACAAGTTACAGTTAGGCAGAAAGGAACCTCACTGCATGAGAGCACCAAGTCAGACATAGTGAATGACTAAGTCAAGCCAACCCTCTTCTTTTCTGAGCTGTGTATAGTATGTTTTGAAGACCATGGGACTGATGTATTCATAGCCCTCTAGGAGAATGGTTTGTCTGTCATCTAGATTCTGCAGAAGGATTTCCCCAGGTTCATCTACAGACTCTTAGCAGTACTGGAAGTGGTTCTAGCTAGTTACTAGACACACTTCTAAAAGTTGAGCATGCAAACTGTTTGGGGAACACCCAGGCAGGGGGATTGGGATCCATCCCTGTGCATGGGCAGGCTTTTGGGAACCTGGTACCTGTGGTGTGGCACCTTGCACAGCCTTGGTACAGTGGGAAGGGGCTTGGACCTGCCTAGGCTCTGTGTGCCGGACTCTGCTGACTCCCCATGGGAGACCTTGATTTGGGGGATGTGGGGATGTGGGGATGTGGGGTGGCTTGGGAGGGAGGGCTGGGAGATGGGAGGAAGGAGGAGGTGGGATCTGTGGGTGGTATGTAGAGTGAGTAGAAAATTTCTTAATAAAGAAAAATGGGAAAAAAGTTAAGTATGGTTGGGGGCAAAGTTCAGTGACAGAGTAACTGCCTGGCTTAAGCAAAGTCCTGAGTTTTATCCCCAGCAAAAACTTTGTTTTAAGTGGATTTTATCAGCAGGAAATTAGCATTCTACTTATCAAGTTCAGACTGTATTGTTAGGAGAAAAGGCCATAAAAAGGAAACAAAGTTTATTTAAAGGACAGGAATGAAGGACAACAGAAACTCATGAGAACAGTATTTTGTTAGGCAGTATTACATGGAGGCTATATAGAAACTCAAGAGCCCATGTTTAAATCCTGCCTCACATACACTAATCAGGGTTTCCTCCCCCTTTCTCAACCCTGCCCATTCTTTCCTTTCTGCAGTACGAGGGACTGTGCTTTGAACCTAGGGCCTTCATAATCTAGGCAAGCCTTCTATCACTACTTTTGTCCCCAGATGCTGTATGCATCTCTGTGTGGGTAAGTGCACATGAGTACAGCTTTCAGTGACGGCCGGAGGAAAGCATCTAGCCCCTGGAGATAAGTTATAGGGGTTTGTGAATCACAAGTGGTAGGTGCTGGGAACTGAACTCCAGGCCTCTGTGAAAGCAATACTTGCTCTTCCATCTTTTCAGCCCATTGTTTCTATGTATCTATTTTTTTTTTCATTTTCATTTGCATGTGTGTGTGAACACATGTTGAGGTCAGAGGAAAATTTTCAGGAGTGGTTCTCTGCTTCTACCATGTGGGTTCTAGGTGTAGAACTCACATACATTGTCAGTTGTCAGTTTTTGTTGCAATTGTCCTTACTTGCCCAGCCATCCTGCTGGCTTTGGATTTCTTTCTTAACCTTACTGTTTTTTTTTTTTTTTTTTTGACAGTGTCTCTCTACATAGCATTGTCTGTCCTGTAGACCAGGCTAGCCTCAAACTTACTGAGATCCACCTGCTTTTGCTTCCCAAGTTCAGTATTTAAAGGCACTTGACACCTCACCGGGCCTTCAATTTTTATAACAGCAGTCAACACATGAGATACTGTGAATATTTAATCAATTACGGTGGCTGATGTTTAATGAATAGTAAGTTACAATTTTGACGCTGGGACTCACTCAACAAAGGAAGAACTATCTGTACAGTTACAGATGCGGGAAGCTTACTGGTGCCACTGATTATACATGTGGTCTCATTTTACTCACAAAGCCAAGGTTTAGTTAGGTTCTGTGCTTTCCAAGGTTATAAACTAATCATTACCAGGTAAGAATTCAAGCTGAGATTCATGGAATTCCAAAGCCATGCTTCTCAAATAGGAGCAATAAACTAATCATTGCCAGGTAAGCATTCAGCTGAGATTCATGGGATTCCAAAGCCATGCTTCTGAAAAGAAAAGGCAAGGCCTTCCAGCTTTCCTATTCTTTCTCTTGTCTAATCTCAATTTCCCAGCCCCAGTGCCTCTTCCAACAAACTCCCTAAAATCTCCAACTGTCTGGGGAGTGGAAGATAGGCGCAACACTGGAGAGTAAGAGAAACCTTGGGCAATGGAAGGATTCGCAGTTTGAGATTAGAACAGAAGAGAAAGGGATTTGGGCTGCCCACACCTTAAAAATGCCATCCGAGGATTTACACGAAAAGCAGTCTTCTTCCAGTGCTTCTAAACTATTGTCATACTACGACAGAAGATGGATTTTTTTCTTCTAATTTTCTAAGTTAGCACTTAAACTAGGTGGTTTTGAAGTTTTGAAAGGATTTGACTAGTTATGTCCACGATACAGGTGCCAAGCAATCTTTCTTGGGAAGGGAATTCAGTAAAAACGTCAAAAGTACAAATGGACGGACCTCCTTTGTGTTTTGCCAACTGGTAAGAAAGTAACTACTAGTTTCTAGTGGAATTTTAACATTATTATTGTGTTGTCCGGGCGTGGGGCGGCAGTCTTGCAACTGTTTCTCTCCCGGAAGGCTACTTGATTCACAAAAACCAAACCGACTCGAGCAGAGAGGCACAAAGTGGCGACTGAGCTCGTGGTCCCGGACCCCGCACTGGCTTTGCGGGATCGGAACCGGAGGATGCCTGAGTCACCTCGCGCTGCGTTCCGGTGCTGGAGCCCCAAGGCCGACGCCGCCCGACCGGGACGGGTTCCGTCCCACGCATGCGTCCCGCGTTCCGCTCTCGTCCCCCCCCCC